CCCTGCCCGGGAGCTGCGGCGGCGGCGCTGCCTGTCTCGCTACTGTCGAGCGGCGGGACCGAAGCCGCGATGGCGTCAGGAACCGCAGGGCTGTGAGGCAGCAGAGCGCGAGCCGGCAGGGCGGGCAGAGCGACGGAACCGGGTCGCGGACGAACCGAGCTGCCGCCATGGAGCTGAGGGTTGGGAACCGGTACCGGCTGGGCCGGAAGATCGGGAGCGGCTCCTTCGGGGACATCTACCTGGGTAAGGAGGGTGGCTCGCTCGGGACGTACCTGGCGGGTCCGTGGCTCTGTGGAGAACGCCGGGGGCCGGGCCGGGGTGGGCGCTGCTCGCTGCCGTGCCCGCTCCCAGCCCCCGGCGAGGTAGCGCCGGGGGCAGCCCCCGGGACCTCGTTTCACCCCGGCTGGAGCTCAGGCTGCGCTGCTGCCCCAGAAGTGCCCTTTGATATGAAGTACCTTGCTAGGGGCGCAGCGGGAGCAATTTAATATTTCGTTGACATCATGTCCTAATTTGGACAGTGCGGAAATCGGGAATTCTGGCTTATTTAGCTGCCTCTTCCCACTGTTGTCTTGTGACCTTGGGCACCGTTAATCTTCTCATCTGTAAAATGGGGATAAGGGTATAAATCCCCTCATTTGAAAGGAAAAAAAAAACCCACACTGCGTTCAGAAAAATGTTTTGGGGAAGAAACGTGTGTCAGGGTTAAACATCACTGCAGTGGACTAGGAAAAATTGCTGTCATAGGGATGTTTGTTTCTCCTGCGAGGCCTAAAAAAAAAAACATTACACAGCTACGGATGACTAGGTTGCAGTTAAAAACACCCTCAAATCCTTCAAAGAATCATCATGGTTTGGCTGTCCTGTTGCTTGAATGTTGCCCTAATGCCTTATTGCGTATATCTTATTCTGCTACCGTGATTTCTGTGCAATTGTAAAGTTTGCAGGATTGGCGTTGTCTTTGCCTGTCCGTTTATGCAGCTCTATCATAATGGCTCGCTGCTTATGATTATGACAAGCAGTGGTGGGTACAACAAGTTTTGAAAGCAAGTATTTTTAAAATACTCAAGATATTCTGCAAACTCTCAAACCATAAGAAATGGGTTAAATCCAGAGAAATATACATTTTATATCCTGCCACATAGAAACGAGTACTCTGCATTTGAAAATTGTGGTAACTTAGAAAAGCAAGTCCAAAAGGGGGGGGAGGTGGAACTAAGGGGCTAAGGTACGTTAACTGCATACGTCTGGAGGGTAAAAACAACATCACTAGCTAGCGTATGTGGTATGTCTGGCAGTGTACGCAGTATGAGAGGTGTTTTTTCTTCCTAGACAGCAGTGCTTCATGTTGCAGCGCACAGCTGGCATTCCAAAATAATTTGTTAGCTAAAGCTGCTTGTTTACAGATAATGAAATACTGGTTATCCGTAATATAGATCGTATGTCTGGTGAAAAATCCATGTTTCTAGCTGAAGGCATGTGGTTGTCTAGAGGCAGGGAACATGATTCTTTCTCTCTGCAATGCTTGCGTAAAAGATTGAAGACTATTATGAGAAAGATGGTGGTAACGCTTGTGCAAAAATCCTCATTAGCTACCATTGGGATTTTGGGTGGAGATTAAGACAGCGGTTAAAATCTGAAAAATCTTAGATGATTTGAGAAACTCCTACTTTAGCATTTGACTACTGCTCAGGTAAATCAGTTTATGTTACAGTATAAATTTAAAGTGCAAGTAAAATAAACATTTTTTTACTCGTCACTTTTTATCTTTATGCGTACAGCCCACACCGGTAAAGTTGCACGGGAAATAATAGTTCTCTGTATATTAGTACTACTGCCATGCTGCATTTTGTACAAGAACTCCTCATCCTCAGTTTTTGACCTCTTCTTTTTATCTCTAAGTAGCCAGCGTGGATTTACTTTTAGGGCTTGCTGCAAATGTCATGCCTCAGCCAGTAACTAGCAGAGAAGTATATGCCTAGAAGATCCAGCTAATGGCATGGGTTTCTTTTTCCAGGGGAAATTAACTGTCTCACAAGAACTGCAGCCTTTGGTAGAGGCCCATTTGGTTTGCCTACTGTTGTCTGGCAAAACAGAGGCGTTCGAAATCTATGCTTTTTGTGATAACGAAATGTGGTTTTATTTAAAAAACAAGTTTCTACTTGGTTGTTCAGACTGTACAGAAGGACACAAGTGCCTTAAAATAACTTTTAAAATGCTTTCAGAAATCATGAATTTTTTTAAGTACTCATGCCTTCTGATAGCCCTTAGTGAATTTGTAGGTTACCTCAGTGTAGATTTCCAGCTCAGTTTTATGCTTTGAAAAGGAAGATTTGATTATTTTTGCCTGTTGCCAGTCCCCCTGTATTTATTTTAATGCAGCTACGAGGGTGTTGAAGACATTCCAGAGTAGAGGGGAGGGACCTTCTTTCTTTCTTTCAATCAGTTCTTTGGAATATGGAGACGACGACTCTGTTATTATTGTCATAGTTATTTCATAGTCTTTCCTATTCTCCCTCATACCTCAAAATACGTCTTCTGGAATTTGGAAGCTTTGCTTGCTTAGAATGGCAGGGCCTGTGGGACAGGATTTTGAAATGTAAGGCACTATTGTAAATAAAGGAGTGCAGACAACTTAAAGAAAATAAAATTTAGGAATTTAGTGTACCTGCATCTTTTGAAGTTACGCTCCAGAGGAAGATAGGAAAGAAATGGATTCCCAGATATTCTAAATAGTATAAAAGATGGACAAGGGACGAGGTGGGAGGGATCAGAGTAAGCATTTGTTTGGTTGCTCAGTCCACGAGGTCAAATAGATATGAGTCACGAAGGCATTGCAGTTGCTGTGTTTTCATTATTTTTGCATTACGTATATATTTTTCTTAAGAATGAGTTTTTGGTTGTAAACTAATTAAAATAATTTCCAAGGCTTTCCTTATGGTAGAGGATTTTGCAATTCCAAGTAAATTGGAATTTTGCAGTTTAAAAGAAAATACTTTCACAACTCTGGACTTTCTTTTTCACTTACAAATTATGACTTCTCATTATACTGCTTGTTACTACTTTTTAATTATTGATTCTTCTCATAATACTGCTTCTTGCTACTTGCTGAATATTATTATGTTTTCCTTAAAGGCAGCTAAGCTTTTGGCTGTTACAGAGTTATTTTAGAAATTTTTTCCCAGGGTTTAAGTGGGGACAAAAGTCCCTACTTGGGGACAAGCACTGATAAAAGATGGACAAGGGACGAGGTGGGAGGGATCAGAGTAAGCATTTGTTTGGTTGCTCAGTCCACGAGGTCAAATAGATATGAGTCACGAAGGCATTGCAGTTGCTGTGTTTTCATTATTTTTGCATTACGTATATATTTTTCTTAAGAATGAGTTTTTGGTTGTAAACTAATTAAAATAATTTCCAAGGCTTTCCTTATGGTAGAGGATTTTGCAATTCCAAGTAAATTGGAATTTTGCAGTTTAAAAGAAAATACTTTCACAACTCTGGACTTTCTTTTTCACTTACAAATGATGACTTCTCATTATACTGCTTGTTACTACTTTTTAATTATTGATTCTTCTCATAATACTGCTTCTTGCTACTTGCTGAATATTATTATGTTTTCCTTAAAGGCAGTTAAGCTTTTGGTGGTTACAGAGTTATTTTAGAAATTTTTTCCCAGGGTTTAAGTGGGGACAAAAGTCCCTACTTGGGGACAAGCACTGGATCGCTTGGAAGAATGAGTTGTATTTTTGTCCCCCTCTCATCAGTTTTGCTGGACTCCAATATTTTAATTTCATTATTTTAATAAAAAATCTCTTGTCTTGAAGGAGAGGGTTTATACAGAAGCAGAGTTCAGGCTAAGGGTCTTGGCTATCTCAGGTGATAAAGGCTCCTTGGGAAGAGCAGCTATCCTAAGAAATGACCTACTAGGTCGAGACTGTGGTCCATCAAGTAACGGTTTAATACTGTGTTGAGCAGAACTTGATACCAATAATACAGGTCTTGATCGTCCTGTGCAGTTTTTGCCCTGATCAAACACAGAAGAGATGTGTCTTTCAGTATACTCGGACAGCAATTTGTGTCTGTTTTGGGTCAGAAAAGTTTAAAAAAAAAGACCAAACAAACCAAAACCCCCAAACAACCGCATCTGTTGCTGATCTCCCATCAGATAATATTGTCTTTGGTCCACACTTTCCCTGATCTCGGCTGCTGTGGGATTGGGGAGGACAGTTAGTGAATGTAGGAATAAGCAAGAAAGGTCCAGAGTTCTGTGGTTCAGAAACAAGTTTTTTATTTGTTTGGGGTGGGGAGGTCAGATATGTTTAAACTTTGAAAGTGAACAGGTAAGCCAATTTTTCAGTCACTTGATCCCTGAAACAAGAATTTAATGAGATTTTTAAAAAGTTCTCTGAGAGGACAAATTCTTGATTCTTGATAATCTGCCTCCCAACCGGATAAAATCATAAGGTGTCAGAATACATCTGGATTATGTTGAGATTTAGGGAAGTTGTAGTCTCTGTTTCCAAGGCATAAGAGGAGGTGATCTGAATTCCTAGCATTTCTTAGGTTGGCAGGGATACATGCCACACCTGTAAACATTCATTCTGAGCACTTCCACCACAAACTGGAAGTGGAAAGACACCCCTCAGAAGAGGCACTCTGGGTTTTTTTGGAATGGGATAGCAGCAGTTATGGCTTCCTGTGCTACAGTTCTAATAGTTGTCTCTTAAACTGCTAGTCTGTCGGAGAGAATTTGTAAGACTTCAGAAGAATTTTTAGATAATCGTGGCTGAAAGTACTTAATAATCTCTGGATGTTTGCCATTGAGAAGTAGTTTGTCAATATTTGTTTTGTTTCAGTCTTGACAAAGGAAATGCATCTTAACAAAATATTTTGACCAATGTTTTAAATTCTTCTGGTTTTAGGAACTGATATTGCTGCCGGAGAGGAGGTTGCAATTAAGTTGGAATGTGTGAAAACCAAACATCCTCAGCTTCACATCGAGAGTAAAATCTACAAAATGATGCAGGGTGGAGGCAAGCAAATTATCTTCCTTCTTCAGACATTTACTGGTTTTATGTCTTTGATGTATCTGCCACCTGGAAGTATTAAATGGTTAAGATCTCTTTTGACATAGAAGGAAAAGGCGGGAAAGGTGGCAGGGTAGATGAAGAGCAGTACCTCAGCTCTTCTGCGAGCAATGTAGAGTAGCAGTTCCAAATCCATGGCTACCAAACTTCATGATAACCACTAAGATGCTACAACTTAGTAAATTCAGGTTAATTTTTGTCATATATGTTAGTATTCTTTCTTCTGAGTTAAAAATACTACCTTGTTGTGGGAATTCTAAGACAAAATGGCATTAGTAGTAGACAACAGGAGTGAAGCAACTTCGCAGCTACTGCATGGCGCTCTGCTAGGATAACTCACCCATATATCTTGGAATTCTGCAAATGTAAGATTCCCATGCAGTTCTGGGACATAAACTCGGTGTAGTTAAGTTTTGCTTTTGTTTCATAGTCCCTTGAATTCTTCCTAAATGAGGCTATACTTTGCATAAAGACTACATTCCACACCGTATCTTAAATGCAAAATACAGTAATCACACATCTAGAAATGGATGATAATGTGTATTTGCATTTAGTTACTTTTTAATTCCTGCCTCATTCAGTTGCTGCCTGCGTGTAACCTGAATAGCCTTCATAGAGTAAAATGCTTCCTTTATGGGCTTACTAAGGCCGTGATGGTGGGTTCCTTCTGAGGATGGATGCTGCGGAGGCAGGTGGCAGAAGGTTAAGCTTCCATCTGAATAAGGGTTTCTCTGTGAAGGGAATTCAGGAAAAAATAATGCATATCAAGTAAAGGTAAGAGTTTAAAATGGGTGAATTATACCATTTCACTTCCAAAATGCATAAAATTAACTCAAAGTAAAGGCATTTGAAATTCTGAATAAGGCTACCTACATAGAGGTGTAATTCAAAATATTTGAGCAATTCTACAGTTTTGTGTGAAATAACGTTCCTGAGTTTCTCCATGAAGCGGGGCTAATTTTAGTGCTCTCAAGCTGAATGTATAAAGCGTCTGATAAACAATGCTATTTTGGTAGAGATTCACCAAACAGCAAATACAGTGGAACTGGAGGAAAGACAAGAGTATGAAGCAAGGGTGAAAATTCATTGCAAATTGAAATGGGAGAGAGAGGTATTTTACGGTGATCTTGTAGGCTTTGAAATGAAGAAGTTAATTCCTAAAGCCTTCTTCGGTAATAATATTTAGTGGTTTGTCAGTGTCCTTATTTTCAGACTTCCAGTTTGCTCCTTATTGCCATCTTGGAGACTACATGAGTATTAATACTTGTAAAATGCTTAAGGTTCAAATCCAGCAAAAACGCTAAATACTTTCAAGTTACAAGCTAAGCACAAAGACTGGGAGGTTTCGGGGGAAGAGGAAAAATGCTATTTTTAGACCTCTGTTGCTAAAATTTTATATTGGTTCTGCTGTGAAATTATCAAACTTTTCATTTCAGAATGGCTGAAGGTAGCATAAAATATTAAGCTTCACTGTAAATACAAACAGTAGTCACGGTAATGACCCTCTTAGAATTCATCTTAAGAGCCTTGAAGATTTGTGTGTATGAACTGTATAAATCAGTTTGTTATACTGAATAAGCTGTGTCCTTTTTTCTAGTGGGTATTCCCACAATTAAGTGGTGTGGAGCTGAAGGGGACTACAACGTAATGGTGATGGAGCTGTTGGGACCGAGTCTTGAAGATCTCTTCAATTTTTGTTCAAGGAAATTTAGTCTCAAGACAGTGCTATTACTCGCTGACCAAATGGTAGGAAACTGCTTTGTTGATCTTGATAGTGCAGTATGTTGGGGTATCAAAATTTCTTGAGAGATCGTAACCAACTGCATTTTATTTCTGTAATTTAGAGGTGAATAGGCTGTATCATTAGAGAAAAGACTCAATTAGTTTTGTTTCTGTAAATATGAAGTGTCCCATCAAAAGTGATTACAAAGTCTTAATTTGATTTTTAAAAACTGGACCTGCACTGTTTGCAAACCAGGTGTTGCACTGCTCAAAGACAAAGAAATTCCCCCAAGAAAGTTTTTGGAAACAAATGTAAAATTGACACAGGGAAAGAGCTGGAGAGAAGGTTTATCTGTTGTCTTCTAAATTATGTTCTCTTTAATGCCCTTACATTTTAGAATAAAAAGTTTCTTTATTTCCGTTATCATTAAAACAGTGTTGCTAGTGTTTTTATAAGAAAAAGGGTGTATGCCTAGTCTCTCAACGATTTTTTTTTTTTTTTCCCCCCTCTGTGTTTAGATTAGTCGAATTGAATATATTCACTCTAAGAACTTCATCCACCGAGACGTGAAGCCAGATAACTTCTTAATGGGCCTGGGGAAGAAAGGCAATCTTGTCTACATAATAGACTTTGGATTAGCAAAAAAGTATCGAGATGCTCGAACTCACCAACATATTCCATATCGTGAAAATAAAAACTTAACAGGAACTGCGCGTTATGCATCCATCAACACTCATCTTGGAATTGGTGAGCTGGGGAAAGCAATAAATAGAAACTTGTCGATGCACATAATTTTAGTGCAAGTAGAAGTTGCTTTATGGAGGCACGGGAGACAGTCCCTATTTCTGGCACTAACAGTGCAGCGTGCTTGGCCTCCTGTCTCCTGATTGGGTGGGATTCGGTCAGTTTGTAATTCTCAGGAATTAGCACATTTTTTAATAACTGCAAGGGTGATAGGCTTTTTCTTGTACTGGATGAGTTTATCGTGGGCATAGTAACTCTCAGCTATCTCTTGTTTTTCTAAGGGTTTTTATGACAGTCTTGTTGCACAGTCTTTTGTTTTTCCAGTAGAAAATGAAACCTAATGAGTCCACTTTTTTATGCTGTTGTAGAGCAATCTCGCAGAGATGACTTGGAGTCCTTGGGCTATGTACTGATGTATTTTAACCTGGGCTCCCTCCCCTGGCAGGGACTGAAAGCAGCAACAAAGAGGCAGAAATACGAACGTATCAGTGAAAAGAAAATGTCTACACCCATTGAGGTTTTGTGTAAAGGATATCCTTGTAAGTTACTCTTGTGGCACTAGGCCTACATGTTCGCATTTTAGTGGTATTTCTTTTTTCTTTACACTGAATTCTACCAGTCTTTTTTACTTCTCTCTCTC